AATCATTAGAAATCAATCCAAATTTTGCAAAAGCATTAAATAATCGAGGACTAATTTATCTAAGTATGGGCAGATATCAAGAATCACTTGTAGATTTAAATAAATCATTAGAAATCAAACCAAATTTTGCAGAAGCATTAAATAATCGAGGACTAACTTATCTAAGTACGGGCAGATATGAAGAATCACTTATAGATTTAAATAAATCATTAGAAATCAATCCAAATTCTGAATTTGCATTAATTAACCGTGGAATGGTTTATCAAAAGATAGATAAATATGACAACGCACTTGTAGATTTAAATAAATTATTAGAAATAAATCCATATTCGGTAGAAGCATTAAATCTCCGAGGACTAATTTATCAAAAGATGGGCAGATATGAAAAATCACTTGTAGATTTAAATAAACCATTAGAAATCGATCCAAATTTTGCAGAAACATTAAATGATCGAGGACTAATTTATCAAAAGATGGGCAGATATGAAAAATCACTTGTAGATTTAAATAAACCATTAGAAATCAATCCAAATTTTGCAGAAACATTAAATGATCGAGGACTAACTTACGATTTTGGGTCTTTGCTTTCAACATTGCTTGCTAAAAAGAAAAGATGTCAGAATAATTGTGATGAAAAGGATCCTAATAGAGATTGGTGTCAAAATTGCGGACCCAAATATGGCCGTTGTCCAATTTGTAATGAAGAAAATTCTTATAAAGATGGGTGGTGTAAATCTTGTGAATGGACAAAATCTAAACCAAAAAACCCCAAAACAGGACTATGTACGGATTGTAGATATTGGTGTCAAAGTTGTAATAAAAAAAGATTTGAACAAAATTTTGAAAAATGGACGAGTGGAAATGAGATTATTGACAGTTTAATTAAGGAATCACAACAAAATGCCAAGGATCGAACTGATGTTTTAGAATGGATTCCGTACAACCAATTTAAGAAAACTAAATATGTTGATCGAGGTGCTTTTGGTATTATTTACAAGGCGATTTGGACTGCGGGAACTATTTACGATTGGGATCATAAAAAAAATGAATGGCTCCGAATAAAACAGTTTATTAACATTGATAATGATGAATGGAATTATATTCAAGCAAGCGATTATGATAATGAAAAATTATTCAAAAGTAAATTGGATGAATTGAAAGATAAAAATACTTTATATAGTGGTGGTGGTTGTTTAGTTGCATTAAAGGAATTTCCCAGCGATGAAGCATTCTTAGATGAAACATTCTTAAAAGAGGTATTGATAATATTATTTTAAATTATAATATTTATATAAATACATATATTATACACGTATATTTTAATTTCAATTTAGTTTAAAAATCACATCAAAGCTTCTATAGAAGCTAAATACGCATTTGTACGATTATATGGAATCACACAAGATCCTAAAACTTTAAAATACATGATTGTAATGGATTATGCAGTAAATGGAACTTTAAGTAATAATTTACCAACAATTTATCAATTCGGTTGGAAAAATCGGTTATATATATTGCAAACTATTTTATCTGGGCTTTCAAAAATCCATAAAAAAAATTTAGTCCATAGAGATTTACATAGTGGTAATATACTTATTAGTTATTATAAACTTGATCGTGAATATTTACAAGCATATATTAGTGATCTTGGCTTATCACAGCAAGTATATCAAAATGTGAAGGATAAAAAAATATATGGTGTGTTGCCTTATGTGGCTCCTGAAGTATTAAAAAGTAAGGATTATACTAAGGCAGCAGATATCTATAGTATTGGGGTATTAATGTGGGCGATAGCATATGGAAAAATTCCATATAACAACATTCCATACGATTATAATCTCTTTTGCAAGATTTGTAAGGGGGATAGGCCAAATATTAATAATAATATACCGTTATGTTATTCAACTTTGATTACAAGATGTTGGAATGAAGATCGGGATCTACGACCAACTGCTGAAGAATTATATCGTACATTTTCAAACTGGTCTGACTTTTATGAAGCAAAAAATCTTGATCAAACTTTTATATCTGATGACATCAGGCAGGCTATTAGGCAATTTCAAAAAGCGGATGAAATCCAATCGCCTAATGAGAATATGGAACAGGATCATTCCGAAGCCAATTTTAAAAGTCAATCTCTCGAAACTTACATATATCAATACAAAGAATATATAAAGAGTGAAATTGAAAAAAACAAAGTGGTGATTGAAACTAATAAACAGGAAGATTACAGACACAACTCAGGTAGATTATTATGCTCCAATTTTATGATTTATTTTTGATCTTATTAATCTATATCTAATTGCGTTCTGCTTTAATTCTTGACATAAATATTATGCAACGAAATTCCCGAATTTGTGATTTTAAGATGATTTATTCGCACTTAATCAACATAATTAATATATATTGATCGAGTTAACGTTATCAGTAAATTAAAATTACAAATTTTTGTATGTATGTAAATACCTTTTTTTTTGATATATTATCTATCTATTTCTATCTAAGTCTATTATGTCTATTTATCTATCCATTTATTCTATACATTTGCTTTGCCATTTATTACAATTGATTCGTTTTTTGATGTGTATTTACATTAATATACCAATCAATATTTTGAGTGTCAGTCTTTTGACTTTGTTAGATTTTAGAGGAATGGTTCATTGCATGCTTAATTTCGTACTATAATATCATCATTTATTATTCAGTAGTGCCTCTTGAAATTAGTTGAATAAGACTAAATTGGTTCAAGAATTACTCTTATCGTAGTTTACTAATTACTACAATGGATCTTAATTAATGTTTGAGTAGCTTTATTTATTCAAATATCAAAAAATATATTTTTAACGCCTAAATGTTATTCGTGGCTTATGTACTCACTATAAAATAGCACTTTAGTTATTATTATCACACGGTTCTAACTGTAATAAGAAATAACCCCAAATCGAATAGGCAACATTAAAAAAATCAGATTGAATGCGATGCTATTGATTATGCATTTGCAATGCGTATTAACTAGGCCAAAAACTTGCATCTAACAAGAAACGTATCATAAAAACTTGCATCTAACAAGAAATGTATCATAAAAACCTGCATCTAACAAGAAACGTATCATAAAAACTTGCATCTAACACGAAACGTATCATAAAGACTACCGTAATAACGCCCCGGTTGTAGGTTAAAATTCTAGCCAGAATTAAGCTTAATTCGGCCTAAATTAAGCTTAATTCGGGCCAAAAATTTTAACCTACACCCCGGGGCGTTATTTCGAGGTAATA